TATTCCCTTCAATTGCCTCTTTGCTTATGGTGCACCCCTTTTGGTATAAACAAAGAAGCTGCGTTAAGCAAGCCAGCATGATGTGCAGAGCAGAAAACTAGGCAAAAAATACTTTATCTCTTCTGCCAGTTTTCAAGATCAGGCCTGCTTAACTCCATGTCCAGTGCTCTCCAAAAACCTGCCTTTGAGATCTTCGAACCCTTTTGGATGAAGGGTTGGGGTGTTGAGCTAGATGTATTTCATAGTAGTGTACTGGGCCTGCTGCTTTTTCTTTTTCTTTTTTTTAATCTGGCAGCACAGGAAAATTTCACCTTTTAGTTTTTCTAAAAATAATGCAGACGTGCAGGGTCAGATCTACACTGTGGAGATAAATGTGCTTTATTGAAATATCTGTACCAGAGATTAGTGATTGCCATTTCTTAGATTAAGCCAGTTTAGAAATTTGCACCTACCTGCTCTTGATCAGGATCTTGTCCAAAAACTCCAAGAACCTAGCTGTTTACAACAAAGTAACTATAGATATATTTGAAAAGAAACAGAGCAAAGTCCCCTGTGACCCTCCCAACACTGCAGACTTCAGCTAGTTGGGACCTTCTTAGCGATGGAAGGATGGAGGAAGACCCAGGCTGCATTCAGAGGGTCATTGTCCATCTTTGCTGCTGTTTTGGATTGTGCAGAGCTTTCAGGAGCAAGCAAACGTTCTTTGCACCCAAGGGGGACTGGGCACATGGAGGCAGAAGCAAGTTCAGTTGCTTCTTAGCAGGCCTTCTGCTGGTGCCTGCTCACAGCATGCAAAAATCTGAAGGAGGAGCCTCTCTAATGCAACAGTCCAGCAACAAACTCTTTGGTCCAGTAATCAGTGAGGATTCTGGGTCCCAGCCTTCCTCTTATTTACCAACCAGGACTTGGAGCCACATTCTTACTCAGCCTGAAGAGTATTTTTGTGGGGTGGGGGGCAGAGGCATGTGTTCCTGTAAGAAGAGCTTGTACTTGCCAGCCAACTGGTGTCAGGATACAGAGAGAGGAGTCTTATCTCAGCCTGAGCTGGACAGAGAATAGGACTGCAGCCCCTCCTCCAGCTTCAGATCTTCCCGCCCACTGTCCAATGTCTCTGCCCCTTCGAAACAGCCAGAATCACGGGGAATGTCTCCCTTGAGTTCTCCAGGAAATAGCTGACTGTCCAAGGGTCTTCCTTCATCTTCAGCTTCACTGCTTGCTGGGAAGAGAGAAGCCAATTGTTAAAAGAAAAGCTGGACTGGGCTAAAAGTGGCACTGGAAAGGGAAGAGGGATGGTCCAGACCCTGAGTCTTGCCTCACTTGTTCCTGGGTGAGAAACAATAGTTTCAGTAACCTGGCTTGCGATGAGCAGGAGCTAATGATTTATGTTGGGAAACCACTAAAGAACCCTGCTCTGTGTGGGTTCCCTTTGCAGGGCCATGTTTACCTGTGGTGCTTATAGGAAACTACTATTTCAAGGTTGTAATGATCTGCCCCTGCATTATCTAGCCTGATTTATCAATCTGCTTTCATGTCACAGTTGGTCTTTAATACAAAATGTGATGGGGATTCAAGGTGGGACTTTCTGCACCTGGAACAGGTCTCACTTCAACAAAGGAGCTTCACAACGGGAGAGGAAGGAAGAAGGCTCTTTTGGAGGGTGAGGGAGGCTTACTGTCATAATCCAGCAGTAGATCTGCTGCTGTAAGCAGCTTGATACGATGCTGTGGATCAGTGATGTTCAATTCATTCAGGTGGTTCTCTTGCAACTCCTTGAAGTCCTCCAGAGTCTGATAACCGTTTAATAACAACGTAGAGGTGTGTTCCTGAACAGGAGGAAGAGAGACGGTCCTATTGTAATGCTTGTGATAGATTACCTGAGGAGGTGGGTGGGATTATTTGCTGCTGCTACTGTGCTTTGATAACTCTTGAAGAACACAGAAGTAACTTAGACCCCACTTAAAGGATTTAGAACAGGGTGTGGTCCTCCAGAGATTGCTAAACATAACTATCTGCACTTGGGAGTTAAGTTTCCTGTCCCAATTCACACCATCAAGAAGAGCCTGAGACCTGCTACTTACAATTCCCACAATGCTTCGTAGGAGCCTGCTGTGAGGAATGGCACGTGGGTGGGTTCTGGATTTGGCTACCAGCTACTATATGGAGCACTAGGAGGGTAAGTAATGTTAGTCTACTAGGGTCCTGGGTCCTTTGTACAACATCTCAAGGAGAAAGGCTGCGCTGAAGGGTTGAGTCCTATATTAAAACGATGTATGAAGGGAAGAGAAGAGGTCTGGTGGCTGGTTTCTGTTCAAAATCGGATTCAGTTTTGATTGAGGAAGGAATTGAGTAGCTCAGTCGTATGGATCCTGTACTGTAGGTGTGATCTGAGCAAACGTTGCTCAGGTGTGGTCTCTTGGAACAAGTGCAGAGGAGCTGTTCGCTCTATGTGGGATTGCTCTGTTTTTCTGCTGAGTACAAAAACTAACAATGGCCATCTCAACTATGATTGAATTCAAGATGCTTTTATGCTTTGGGGAGAAGAAATGAGGATATCTACTTATGTATTTGCTATGCAATTGCAGATGCTTGCTAGCCAACTCTGCAGAGCGCCAAGGATTACCCTAATCTATAAGGATTCTGTGAACGATTTCCCAAATGCTTGAAGTAGCACTTTTTCAGGGTGCACTTCTAGTGGAAGAAAGTTGTTTTTTAAATACTGCAACTAAAAAGCCAAAAAAAAAAAAAGAGGTTGCAGCAAAAAAAAATTGAGTATGATTGGATGCTAAATGCTACCACGTTTGTCACAGCATTAGAAATAGACAGAAATTCTAATGATTCAAGACAGCTTTTTAAAAAAATAGTTGTGGTTTGATCAACCCCTGATACATCTTATCTAGGATTTCGTTATCTTTTAAGATACCAAGCCTCAGTTTTTGCGGGGGGGTGGGTGGGTGGAGGGGACGAGGAGGGAAAAATGAGGCAAGCTTCTATATTTAGTAGGTATTTCTGAAGAAACAGCTTTTCCCTTTTAAGAAAAATTTGCCCTGTTGCTAATCGCAGTATCTACAAATGGGTATAAACATATTCTCCTCCTCCTGCTTCCTGCCATGACTCAAAATGAAACTTAGGCAGGCACACATTCTCCTACCCTCCAGGGACTCTAAACATGGATGAGGTTCACATCTCTTCCGGGCTCTGCTTCAGTTCCCTTTAATATTACAAGAGATGTTCAGAGAATGGACCAATGCCGTTTCCTGTTTATAAAGTAGAGTCCTGGCTAGACAGACCATCTGAGTATTGAAAGCGGTGAGTAACACTATCTGATGTGTGTGAAACAGGAGAATGCTGGAGACTCCCTCACCCAGGTCAAACCCATGGCCCGTTTAGTTCTGCTGTGTCTATATGTTGGCTTTTGCTACCGTAGCGCACAGCAGCTGGGCAAGGCAGTGGCCATCACCCTCTAGTCCTTGCTGGCTAAGGATGATCCTGCTGACTTTCTGATGGGGGTCTTCCGTAGTTTCAGTGGGAGGTGTCAGGAATGTAACCTCCTGTAGCCAAGACATAAGTACTACCTCATGCTCTCAATCTCTTATTTTCCCCACAACCCCCACCCTGCGAAGTGAATTGGGCCGAGAAACAGACTGGCCCAAAGTCACCCAGTTGGCTTTCCTGTCTAAAGGTGGCCTGGAAGTCATACTGAGTCATTCCCCCCTTTGCCTTTCAGAGCTTCATTGTCTGGGCAACATTCTCACCTCGAGGTTCATCCGCTGCAGCAGCTCCTGCAAGGTTTTGGCCTTCGGCCTTTTGCTCCTGTGCTGCGAACAGGGCTTCGCAGCCGACTGGGTCTTTTCTGGGATGATGCTGACGTAGATAAATTTGAAGGAGCCCACTTTGTTGTTCAGAAGGCCAGTCCAGGTGCCGACGGGAGGTTTTGCAATGATGTGAATGATATCCCCTTTCTGTACCAAATGCCATATGGTTAACTTCTTTCAACCAGACCCTATTAGGTCTCTGGTTGTATTTTCACATACAATTTAGCGCAATCATGGTTCATTCTGCATGTCACAAGGAGCTGGGGTTTGCACAACACATTATGTCCTAAGCTGTGGTTTACAAGCCATAGCGGCTTGGTTCACCCAGCACAGGAAGCCCAAATCAAAGCACGTTATGGGTTCCCATGACACTAATTCCTAAAAAAGAAAACAACAAATTTGCGAAAGTAGCATTGCAGTGTTGACTTCTGGAGAAGGGCAGTGGGCGTTAAGCATCAAAGAGAACTCAAAGTATGGTAACAACTAATCCAATCTTCTTTCTCAACCTCTACATTCTGTCCTCCTGAGCAAATGTGAACTTGTGGTTGTTCTTCTAATAGCTATTCCTGTACAGTGTGTTGGATTAATAGACTCTGCAAAGGTTCTCCTAATGGAATCAGAGCAGTATTTTATAGGAAGTTAAATTAAGCCCTCCAAATGGCCACCAAAGGCTTTTATTTATTAACCCCAATATTCTAAGTGGGCTGGCGTTGTTCATTGGCTACAGGGTCCTTTGAAGGCCCCGGATGTTGGTGAATATTTGACTGGAAAATATGTTTGCGTACTGGCGAGAGGGAGCATTCTTAGACTGGACCTTCTTTCCAGGGTTGGTGTGCTGCTTAGCCAGGCTCATATTGTGTAATTCTTCTTCCCCGTGTGTAATCTTTCCACAATTTTCTACTGCTCCTCTTGTTTATTTTCTGGCTAAAGAAAATTAATTTGGGAAGAAGGAATACCTGCTCTGTCCTTTTGATTCATGGCATTAGGGACTCTGTTGGAAAGCTCTCTTGTGCAGAGAAAGCACCCACCTGAAGCTTCAGAGAGTCTTTATCATAGGGGCTGGGAATAAAGTCTGTGTGAACCTTGGCTTTTCCACAAAAGGGGCCGTTGTATGGGGTAGAGCTGATATCTTCCTTGTTGCAGAGGCTGCTCAATCTGGAACTGGACAATTCCCTTTCTAGAGGGGGACAAGTGCCAGGAGAAAGAAACATTAGTTGACTTTATGGCAGCTCGGGGGTAGTAGCTTAATCCTGAGTTCATCTTAGGATGAGCTTCTCCATCCTACTGATCTAGAAACCAGCATCATGGTTGCTCAGCAAACGCAATTCTAGGCTTTGTTAACGGAAGATTAGTTTTCAAAACACAGGAAGTAATAGTTCTATGTCATTCTATGTTGGTTGGACCCTACCTCTTGAATATTAAGTCTGGTTCTGGACCGGGCAAATGGGAACAGGCTCAGAGAAGGACAGTCTGAGGCTAGAAGACAGAGGGTGCAGGGAAGGCATAGCCTTGAGAAGGTGGGAGGGGCAGATGGATCTTTTCAAATATTTGAAGACTGTCGAGACTTGTCTTATCGCTCCAAACTGCAGGACACAGAATAACAGGAAGGCAGATCCCTACTGACTGCGAGGGCTTTTGTTCTAACCCAGAGTGAGGACTACCCAAGAGATGGTGGGCTCCTCTTTGTTGAATACGTTCACGTACAGACTAGACAGTCTTGGATTCCTGCACGAAGCAGGAGATAGGTTAGGTTACAACTGGCCCTTTCTCCTCTATGCTGCGAGAGCCTGCCCGGTTGGGAATGCAGTCATCGGCACCACTGACCTTTTAAAAACACAAAACAAGGCTAACCGGTGTCCGATCAAGTTAAGGAACTGGATGGGAGACCACCAGAAGCTCCCTGGGCTACAGGTGAGACTGGGAAATGGCAAAACATCCTAAAAAAAGGCAGTGGCAGACCATTTCCCTTTTGTTGTCAAGAAAACTACACTGGCAAGGCTGAGGAGTCATCTCTGATGAGCTCAACTTGTGGGAATCTTTACCTGCCCTTTCTCAGAAAACAGTTGCCCCCAGAAAGCAAAGATGCCCAAGTGCAAGAGAAGCACGAACCTTTCTTTGTAATGTCTACCCATTTTCTATAAAGAGCGAATGAGGTCTTGTTTGGAGTGGACTGCCCGCCCTCCATTTTGCAATGGTATAATTTAGCCCCAGCTTTACCACTTCCATGTACAGTAAGCCTTAAATGAAGGCTACATTGAAGTTGGATGATCCCTTTACCGTCAGAGGCACAGGGGCTGTTAGTCTCTTGGGTGGCTGCCGGAAAGATGGGGGCTTCATCTTCAACAGGGCTTTGGGCTGGAGATACAGGAGTCTCGGGTTCAACCTGGCCCTGCAAGAGCAACATGAAACCATGGAGAACGCTTTCTTCCCAAGGCAGAAGCGCAGGTTGGCCCTGCTTGGTTCGCTTCCTTGTGGAGCATGGCACCGACAAAGCCCATGCACGATTCTTGGGAAGAGGAGCCATGTTGCACACACAGTGTTTAAAAAGAATGGCACATTTCATGCTACCATCAACAGGTAGGGCTGGGGAGCAACCTACTTGTGGGGGTGCCTCCCTGGGAGCTCCCCGTTATTTGCAGCACCAGACTTGATTCTCACCCTCCCCTTTTCTGAGATCCATTCTCATAAGGATTGGCCAAATCATTTGCTAGCTGCATTTAACATGGGAGGGGGATAGTGAGAATTGGGGGAGAGGGTGTGGGATGGAATGATGACACAAAACAGAGGGAACTCTATCACCCAGGTAGAAAGAATATTCCATTTTGTCCCCTATTTGGATGGTGGCGAGCTGCTTAAAAAAAACAACCACCCTTAAACCTGTTTTAGGGTTTATAAAACAGTGGTGCTAAATATTTGGGTGATAGTGTTGGGGGGAATTCTGGGGGCCCATTCGGCTTGAAGCAACTATTAGCTGTGTCTGCGCAGCCTCCTTAACCAGGTCACTGTAAGACCTAGTCACTGAGTGTGCATAGCCTGATCAACAGGGTTAGGTTTGTTTGTGACTGTGCATTGTGTGAACGCTGAGTTCGTGCAGTGACTGAGTTAAATGTGTTGGGTAAATGCAACCCCTATTTTGTTTTGGAAGCAATATGGCCTTTTCTGCAGGACTCCAGGGCGCCATTCACGAGCAGCAATATGCTCATGGCTCAACGCCATAGAGCCAAGCCACCCAAGTGGTCATTCAATGTGCGTTCTCCACGTTCCCTCTGAAAATGTGAAGTGTTTTCACTGGCCCCAAATGGGAAGGCCCTTACTACAGTCTGTTCTGAGCAACAGTAGCTGATCAGGAGGTGATGCGTAGCACACTGGGGTGATTCTGACAGCCTTTCCCATCCTGTGAGTTGGAAAAAACTATACCACTATAGTTTTTTCCAACTATAGGGTGACATTTGCTGCTCTCGTTGCCCATCCCTCCCCTCTGTTCCCACTCTCCTAGCTTGGGAATGGGTGCGAAGGATTTTAGAGCTGACCTTGGGAAAAGAATGAGCAGCTCATTAAAGGGAAAATATTACCCAGTCCAGAGATAGAAGGAAGTGTGAGAAAGAAATTCAACTCTTTTAGATGTTGTCTAGCATAAGATGGCACAGTGAAGAACTTGGACAGGCTTTCAAGATCCTGTTGTTATACCCTACCACAAGAAAGTCGCATTTCTGGAATCCTTGCAGTATCTGTTACTTGACCTGGCCTACCTTGAAGGGCTGGTATCCATCTTGAAAGCCTGTCCCTCTCTGACCCATCTTATGCCAAACAAAATCAAGGTGGGGTTATTTTGAGTTCCTTTCATTTTTTTTTCTGGACTGAGTCATCTCTCCTCCAAGTCCTCCATTAATGGCATACTTACCCCAAGATCAGCTCTCAGTTCCTTTGTAGTGGGTGACAACAGATTTTTTCCCATTTTTAGGCTGCCCTTGCATGGGGTTTGAATGAAGGGGAAAATACTGGTTTAACACTGATATGGCTAAAGACAACTTAAGCCTGTCTCACTCTTGGGCTGGGATGAGATGAAAGCAATTTCATGGGAACCCCATGGGGAAAAAATACTGCCAGGGCAGGTTTGTGCTGCGGTTGGGTGCAAGTGGGCTCGGTATATGGGCAGCAACAGAAGTCAGCAGCCTTGGCTACCTACTGAAGAGCTCACAAGCAGAACCTACTAGTCCTCACTGCTGCATGCTCTTTTTTCTGCTTTCACAAAACCACAGGGAGAAGGAACTAAGTGTCTCTCTGTTGGTCTGTGTGTGTGTGTGTGTGTGTGTGTGTGTGTGTGAGAGAGAGAGAGAGAGAGAGAGAG